ACCTTTTTCTCCGTTGGGAGTATGTATTATAATCAAATAAATTTTGTTAATATTTGTGATAATATTTGATGTAACAGATTGCAGAATAAATTGAATTAAAAAAAATTTAAATTTGATTGAATGTACATGAAAAATTCCTATATTTAAATATTGATCTAATTATATAGTTTCTTTTTTATCATGTTTAGAAAATATCTAAATTCTCCAATCCCAAATCCTAGAACGTTCACACAGAATTCCCATTCGAACATCCCTTGAAATTCCGTTACCGTCTCAAGTTGCTTGCAAGACGTTCGCAATATTTCAACCATAAATTTCCAATAGCATGTGGGTTGTTTTTTTTCGTTCCTTTCAAATGTTAGGGGAATGTGGTTTTTGGTAGAGATCCCGATTCCCGATATATACGTAATTTTTTTCGCCGTAGTCAAACTTATTTCCCTTCCCGATGAGATGTCGTTGAACCTTGGCCAATGTTCTATAATTAGAATATATTTGGGCAAGTCGCATAGGGCGTGCGGTAACTGAAATGCATAAACGCGAAATAAAATTTTAGGATAATGATAGAAATTAAAATTACATTTCAAATTTATAATTTTTGTTCTAATAGTTTAGCCATTACGCAAATTTTATTTATAAAAAAAAATATAAAAGATCAAATTGATAAAATATACGTTGTATGTTGATCAATATGCACGCAATTGCAGTCGCAAGTCTATAAATTAATGATTAGTATTTTTCTAATATTAATATTATTATAATATTAGTATTACTGCTAATATTTATTCCGCAAATAAATTCTTGTCAATATTTTTAGCGAATCTTTTGAACAAATTAGTAATGCATGGAATCGAGTCTTAAACCAAATTGCTGGAACATTCCGTAACGCAATTTAAGTTTTTAAAAGCTTTGAAAATTTTACATAGTATCTTTGAAACTGCTGGACTTGCGGTTGCCAAAAAGTAATCTGCACGTCTCTCCATCAATAGCAATCGAATGTTTATCATTCAAATCGGTTGACCCCATCTTTCGAAATCGTAGACAAAAAATTGTATCCGCACATACATACGCACAAAGTCACATATGCATACATTTATTTTCAAGGTATTCCAAATTGTTCAGAAACATTTGAAACGTTTAAAACGTAAAGAAATGCAAACATTTTAATTTTTACGATTACTATAACTCACCATATGGGAAAAGTTAAAACATACTATTAATATAAATCAAATTATTATTATAACTGTTTACAGTAATTTTTCAGCCTATAGTTGAAGTTATCCAATAAATAGATAGATTAATAAATAAAGAAACGGAAAAATGGTTGATTATATTAAAATCTTATTACTCTAATCTAATATTTAATGAAATCTTATGAACTAGAAAATTACATTTTATTATATACCCCATATAACTTCGTTAAGACTATTTACCAGAGATCAAAATCGCGTCTTAAGCGGGAAAACGTATTATGGAGCATAGGAACAAAATGTTTTAAAGTGCAGGGCCAGTCATTGGCGTATTATGCGAGAAATTATATCAAGCATAACTGTCTTAACCGGGTTTTACTTTATATATATCTTGAATATTGGTTTTCAGCCAATCGTCGAAATAAAAGAAAACAAATAAATAATAAAATATTTATTTATATTATACGTTTCGACACGGATTGTGTGTCATCATTCAGCAGTCCTTTTTGAAATTTTTGTTATACAGTATCTAAAAGAACTTTTACAAAGTTTAAAAAAAAATAATTTTTATATTTAAAATATATTATAGATTAAAAGATTAGATGACAAGTAAAAAAATTGATACATACCACACCAGGAAAAACAATAAGAATTTTTTTTTGTTAATTACGTATAGAAAATAAGCTTTATAAAGTAAACATTTTTTTGGTTTTAATATATATATATATATATATATATATATAAGAATTTTTACTATGTATTTTAATACCCCTAATTATTATTCTGATGTACATCCCATTTTAAATGCCCATATACAAACATCTATTTTATATACAACACTTGTTTAAAAACGGCCAAAAAAATTCAAGCCCTCTAAAATTTGCTTAGATGGGATTTAAATCAAAAATTAAAAGTCCAGTACAACGACCTTAAATAACCCCTTTCGCAAACGAATTTTCGTAAAAGACCGGTGCAGATAATTTTTGAAAAATTTCGATCGGCCCGTATGAGAATTCCCATCAAAATCAGAGACAACTTTCTATTTCTGTTCCCCAGGTTTGATAATTTGCAATAACAATGAAATACGCACACAATGTATTAATATATATATGTATACACATATATAAATATCCTTATAAGGATATATTAACCTTACCTATATGTAAATTTATTTTAATTCTCCTTTCTCGAAACTAGTGTGACTAGAAATTCGTAACATAGGGTCCCAACGACCTCAAAAAGTGCGTGGGGTCAAATGCAAATTTTATGTAGATACCATTTCACATGCAACTTTTAGTATGAATATAAATGTACATGTTTGGGACTCTGGAAGAAATTCGAGGGGCATTCAGTTAGGTAAAATAAATATTCGTTATTTATTTGCATATTTTATGTATAATAAAAGAAGAAAAGATTAATTAAGATTACAATAAGAATGGCCTAAATTGGTTTAAAGTTAGAAATTTATTGTTTTACTTTTTTCTCATTAATTTTATGGTCTTGTGGATACTATGCGGATAATATAATGGACTAATTACATGAATTATTAATTGCAATAATTTAGCTATATTTGATTATTCAATTAGATTCATATGTGTAATTAGATATTTATTGGCGCATTTGTGCGTAAAATTTTATATTCATTATTAAAGTTTTATTTGTGAAATCTTTAAAACTTGTACCTGTGCCATTTTCATTTTTATTATATGTATACTAATATGACACTACATCTTTATTACTCAAAATTTAACTTAAATTTAAGCTGATGTAGATTAGCATTTAAATTAACATTTTAACTAAGTTCAAATTGTAAGAACTCTCAACTGGCAAAGTGAATGCATTTTATTATTTATGTTAGTTGCTATTTAGCAATAATTATTTCTAAATTACATTTTTCTTACTTATAATTTAACATACATTATTATTTAAGTTCGAATTTAAAACGATTGACTTTTTCATCAATCAATAAGTTGTTATTACATTTTTTTTTCGACATTATTACTATAATTTTTAGTTCATTACCACTATTTTAGTTCCGTTGTTAAACTCTAAAATAATTTATCAAAATTTGAATAGCCGTTCAGGAGCAATTGAGTGACAACACACGTACAGACGATTTATATATAATAGGCACCAATAAATAAATTTGTGAATATTTAAATATAAAAAAATATAAAAAAATGGTTTTGGTTATAATAATTTAAAGCAACAAACAAATGAATTTTTGTTGATATTGAGAAATGCTTAATATAATATACTTATATTTTTGAAAATTATTTACCAATAAAATGTGTTACTATTAAAATACTTTAAAGTCTAGTATTGTTCAAAGAGAACTTGCTGTTTACTAAATATTCAGTAAAAGCCAACTTGAAAAAATTGCTAATATTAGTATCAGTTGCTTAAATACAATTTTTCTGCATTTTACCAAAGAATATACACAACTGCTATACTTGTTATGCTTTTCTGACAAAAATCTGTAAAAATTGTTTATACAGATGATTGCACGATAAAAATATTTTTTTGTGAAGATTGACTTCAAATTCTCATTCTTTTCAATGGCAATTCGTTACTGAAGGTTTTAGCACAAATAACGATGATTTCTTTACTTTATGCAAATCAGAATTTAAAGGTCAGATTCTAACGGCTACAATATTTATTTACACCCAACACTTTCAATTTTCTTTTACCCTTGACAAGTACGTAAAAAATCGTTAAAAAAATCGCATTGTGTATCAAATTTGAGAAGAATGATCGATTTATAAATCAGATCGCCTAGATATAGATCATCTTCATATCACATGAGGGTACCTGCTTAAAATTTTAATAACAAGAACATTTGGACTTGTAAATATTCACACAACTGTAGAGCGAATATTCAGAGATATTTTTCTCACGGCAGTATGCAAATTATGTTCGAATACGGATTTTTATTATGCTAATAGTTTAAATGACCGATTTTGCGAAAGGTTTAGAGACACTCTTTAACTGTTTTTCGCGGTAGAAAAAATTAGCATACGCAGTTGGAGGAAGTAGGTACCATATTAAAAATCTAGGACCTTACCTTGTTCCCGAATACCGAGGCGAGCGCTTCGACCCGCTGAGTTTTTAAATGAATATTCTCGTAGGGGATGATTTTTTTAAAGGGGTTTATTGAAAGGTCTTTTGGATCTATGCTGAGACACTATTGCCAACCAATACTTAATTTTACCAAAAAATTTGCATAGAACTACCTGAAGATATATGCCATTGCATTTATTTTTTGAGCGCACTGTTTGAATTTTTAGTTTGCTCGAAGCTGTTTGAGAAAGCTTTTGGATTTTAGAATACATTTGAAATGAATAATTGTAAGAAATATATAAAAAAAACATTTAATTTATTTATTAAATGTCATTAAATAATAAAAAATATATAAAAAAAATTACATTATTGAGTTTTTCACATTTTTTAATAAATTGTTCATATTAATCAGTGTAAATATATGTAAAAAAAGTAAAAATTAACCCTTACAACGCTTGAATGTATATAATAAATTCAATTTTTTATGAAAAAAATTTTATTAAAAAATGAAAAAAATATAAATTTTTAATTATTATTTATATAATACATTAGAAAATTATATAAGATAGTTTTTTGAATAAATTTAAATATTTATTTTACGGCAATAATTTTTTTCTGCAAAATATTATTTATAGTGATAATTCATTTCTAACTATATAGTAACAGGTTTTATTAAATGCATCATTATTTTAGGTATTTATTTTATGATTTAATGTATCATTTTCCTCCCCCCCAGTTGAAATTGCGATCAAAATGGCAGCCCCAGAAGGCGGTCAAACCTACTGCCTACGATGGAACAACCACAGGACAAACTTGGCCCAGATTCTACAATCACTGGGATACTCAGATTCAGAAGAAGACCTTTCTAACAATTCTGCAAATGGTTCGTCGATTGTAGATTGCATTTTACGAGTAGATGGCGGATATGAATTCCGTGCTCACAGAGTCGTTTTGGCAGCCAGTTCGCCATATTTGCGTGCGGCCTTAAGTGGGTCGTCGATCTCGGTTGGCGATAGCTGTCCAGTAGTCCTGGTCGTACCAGGAGTGGCCAGAGAGGAAATGAGAGTGTTGCTGGAATATATGTATACTGGAGAAGTCAGGGTTGCTAGAGCTGATATTGCTAGAGTTATGCGCATCGCTGAACAATTGGAGGTAGATATTGTAATACATTTATAAATTGTATGCCAAATTTATTTTCATATTTTTTTATGTATTTTATTGTGTGCCATTACTGAAATATAAATTGTTTCTAGCATTCAATTATATGTGGTGCTTAATCCAAGTTCTTCTTTCCTTAGGTTAAGGGTCTATTTGACATGCGAGATTCTCGTCTTCGATTCGATGGAACTCCGGGCGCAGAAACGGAACGCGCACCATCTCCTGATATAACCACAACAACTACTGCATCTGGTGACGAACATCAGAACAATAAAACTACTTCTGTTAGATTACATGAAGATGGCAACCGGGACAACCATCGTGAAATGGAAGAAGATAACGAAAGTCGTCGCACGCCCAATAATGCATCTGAAAGACATCTGCCAAATGAAGCTGGTTGCGTCAGTCCTTATGGCGCGGCCTATCCGAGGTAATTAAAAAAAATATATATATGCCCATTGTCAGTAATGAGCATATCATAAATGTTAGAAAAAAATCTAACTGAAATTTTTATACACAACCATATTTAAGTACATATATTTTTATTTGTTTTTGTTCATACTTTTATTTTTTGTTGTAAATTATCTACATTTTATTTTTTTTCATAAATCAATTAATTATTGATTAATTAGCCAACCAATTAATTTATATTTTTATTATTTAGATCACCAACTGAGTCCTCAGCTCCATTATCATCTGCATGGCCTGGTGCCAATTTGTCTCTTGCTGGATCCCCATATGGAGCAGCGAGGGCTCTGAGCGCTGCTTATGGTGCCTGTGCCGATATGAATCCTTTGAAACGCAAAAAACTACACAGTATGCTTACTTCTTCAAATTCTAAAGATGGAGTTTTACAAGATCGATACAGAAGACAACAGGTACAGTTCATTACATTTTATTAAAAATAATTTCTGGAGATGAATTTTTAATTATGATTAAATTTCAACTAATTTATTTTACAGGAACAGCAATTACAGGATACTCCAATTCTTCGAAATGTTTTAGCCCAACACGCACCTGATTCATCTCAACAAACTAATCCAGTGGCATTGTGCAGATCTAGAGACATGCGTACAGCAAGTGATGGTTCAACGGACGCAGATAGGGTAAATATTTTTAATTGTATATAAATCATCAATTCCTACATTTAAAATGCTAAAAATGTATTGATTTATTTTCAATATGTCTTATGTCTTATCCCTTATTTCAGCCTATGCGCGGAGACGAATCTCCATACACGGACAAATCCTACGATGATGATTTTCGCAGCAGCCAACTCGATAACAACTCCAACAGCCATCATCATAATTCATTGAATAATCACATATCTAATCACAGCAACGGAGCAGGTTCTCACAACAATAGTTCAACATCACCACTTTTATATTCGAATCATGCCGCTGCTGCAGCAGCTATGTTGTCTGTTGGCGGTTATGGAAATCACAAAACTAATGGAGGAATTGTTAATAATAATTTGGTGCCATATGCAGGTCAACCTCAACAACCCTCAAGAGAGAGGGAGAATAATAACCATGGGCCTCAAGGGTCACCACCCGGATCTGCTCCAGGACAGGTAAGATAAAAAATATATTGATAAGGATTTTTTTAAATTTATATAATCTTGTTTGACTATTTGCTTACATATATAAAATTATATTAATATTTATGTTTTTATGTTTGCAGAAACCTGAATGGAAGCGTTATAAGCAATATTCAAGAAATGACATCATGTGCGCAATTGAGTGTGTTCGGAATGGTATGAGTGCCTTGCAAGCATCGAGGAAATTCAATGTTCCATCAAGAACGTTGTATGATAAGGTGAATATAAATCTGTGATCCATCTAAAAATATGCCATTGTTATTAAAAGTATCTACTACTATCCCACAGTGGTTTAAAGTTTTGAAAAAAAAAAAGATTTTATGAAAGAAATAGGTACCTTATTTTTTGATTCGCGCTTTATCGACATTGCTTTTTGTAGTGTATTGTAAAATTTTTAAACCATGTTTTTTATAATAATTTATAGGTCAAGAAAATGGGCATCACAACTAGTCGACCAATGAATCGTTCCTTCAAAAGAGGGAATTCTTTAAGTCCTGCCACCATTCCTTACAACATCAGCGGGTCAAGTTCAGGCTATGCTGGAGCATATGACGGTAAGCACCAGCATGCACACACACCCACCTAGGGGCCGTTTAAGTATTACGTAAGCACTTTAGGGGGGCGGGGGGGTATTTGATTTGCTAATTTTGGGTGACATGGGGGCAGGGGGGTATAGATGATAATTACGTCATAGTTTTTATTATTTTTTTTAATAATTTTTACAACTGTCCAACAACTTTTTGAAGAAAAGTGTATTTTGAAATATTTTGGAAATTCTGAACTTTTTAACTTCCCGTAGGGCAAGTTATAGTAATCGCAAAAAAATCGTAAATGAAATTTTTTATATATCTTTACGTTTCAAAGGTTTCTGAACATTTTGGCATACCTTAGAAAAAATGGATGTATGTGTGTGTGTGTGTGTGTGTGTGTATGTATGTATGTATGTATGTATGTACGTGTGTGTATGTATGTGCGGATACAAATTTTCGTCGACGATTTCGAGAACACGGATCAACCGATTTCAATAATTCAAAAAAAATTCGATTTGTATTGATACGGAGACGTGCTGATTAGTTTTTGGCGAAGGCAGGTCTAGCCGTTCCGAAGATACGGGGCAAAAAGTGCCAAAAACGGTACCTCCGTTTTTAAGAGAACGGAGCGTCCGATTTAAATAATTCAAAAAACATTTTATTTCTATTGACAAGATGAAGAATCGCTACAATTTTCATGAAGGTAGGTCCAGCGGTTTTGGAGATATAGAGGAAAAAGTAGAAAAATGAGCCATTTGGCGGTCAAAAATGATCATTAGACATATGCACATCAAATTATCAGATATTTTATAGAGATTTTAACAATAAGTATACATTTTGTTAACATTCCTATGGGTGTACCAATTCTTATGCGTTAGACAGCGACGCGGCGCTTACGCGCTTCATATTTTGTCCTTATGCAGTTAAAGCAGTACGATTGCTTTGAAAAAAAAGTTCAGATCTTCCACAATATGTCAAAATAAAGAAAAAATATTTTTTTTCAAAAAAAACTAATGTTTTGTCTAATTTATAGTTTCTCAAAAATCTTATTTTTTCAAAGTAAATTTTTTTCAAAAATGTTAATCGTTTTTAAAAAAATAATAATTTTTGGTACGGGAAGTTCCAGCAATTTGCCTTAAGGCACGATGCTCTAATTGCCTTAAGACAGAATTCCACTTACAGCTAGTTTTCAAAGCAATCGTACTGCGAAACGAAATATCGAAACGCGTCGCCGTCTAATGGATAAACATTGGTACGGAACCCATAGGAATGTAAACCAAATATATACTTATTGTTAAAATCTCTATAAAATATCTTATAATTTGATGTGCATATGTCTAATGATTATTTTTGACCGCCAGATGGCATTTTTTTTTACTTTTTGTTACTAGATCTCTGAAACTGCTAGACCTGTCTTCATGGAAATTTCAAGTTTTTCATCTTGTTAATAAAAGTAAAATGTTTTTTGAATTATTTAAATCGGACGCACCGTTCTCTTAGAAACTGAGTTACCATTTTTGGCACTTTTTGCCCCATATCTTCGGAACGGCTAGACCTGCATTCGCCAAAACCTAATCAGCACATCTCCTTATCAATACGAAACGAATGTTCTTTGAATTATTCAAATCGCTTCATCCGCGTTCTCGAAATCATCGACGAAAATTTGTATACATTAATTGCAAAATGTTTACGTAAGCATGGGGGGAGGGGGTAAGAGCTTTGCTTACTTTTGATGACAAGGGGGGTGGGGTGGGTAAATAATTGTAAAAATCTGCTTACGTAATACTTGAATGATCCCCTAGCTTTAAAACTCATTTCAAAATGCGAGTTCATATTTTTTGTTAATAAATATTTAGTAAAATAAAATATATATTTATAGGCGAAGAACAACCACCACCACATCCTGCAGCAGCGCTTCTTGATGTAAAATTTTTGCAGCAAGCTTTGGAAGGTCGCGGTGGTGCTGAATTAGCTGGCAGAGAGGCTTTGCATGCTATGGCTATAGCTGCTGCAGCACACGCAGCAGTTAGTGGACTTTCTGCTAGTCCAGGTTGGTTTCATAATAATTGCTATAAAGTATATTTATGATTTATTATAGATAAATACAATACAATATTCAATATACAAATTCATATTAAAGAAATGGTTGAAAAATACTGAACACAAGATCTTTTATACTTTATTTCTTATTTTCATAGCTGTTAGATTGTTACTTATAAAATACAAATATAATAAATAAAATATTTTGTTTCCAGGAAATCATGGAAATGCTCGCTCCCCCAGCCCTGGTATGAAATTTTCTCACCGCATGAACAACCATGAAGATGCAGAAACTGCTAATCATTTAAACCATCGATTGACGAATCACATTAGTCATTTGAATACCCAACAGCATATGCTTAAATCTGAACCAATGGATAATGAAATGGAAGAAGAAGATAATGAAGTTGAAGATTTATCTATGTCAAGAAAACAACAACCATCAATTGAACCAATTATTGATCAGCAAACAACTTTTCAACCCGTCCAGTCTCCGCCTTTGCAACAAACAGGTGTTATAGTCCAGCCATTGCCTAAAACTGCAAACGGTGAAGAGGCTATGGAGCGCGGGTAAGAAGAGTTTATTAGTATTTTGAATAAACAGATAAATTGTATTACTAAATTATATTATCCTATATCTATGTTTTATAAAAATTTAGAAATATAATTTCGTCATAAGTCTGGCTAAAACTATTTGAGACCACAAAGTATACGTGATATCAAAAAAATATATATTTGAAGAATCATTAAATCATTAAAAAACATATTCTAAAAAAACGTTTATATAAAAATTAAATATATAATGTGCATTCTTGGCAGTGCCTTTATTTGTATATCATCAAAGATAGTTTTGAGATAAATATATCCTAGTTACCTCATCTCGTAAACTTGCTACCTCATGTTTGAATGTACAAAATCATTTTTTATATTAATAATTAGTTAGAAACGTATATATTTAAGAATGTGCCTTGTTCCATAATATTACTAAAATTTAAGAGCACTCAAATATTTGTTTTGATACAAAATATACGTACTATTAATCCAACGAGTGATGAATTAGCAAAAATTTTTAGTAATTATTATATGCTCATTTAATGTTATATTCGTAATAGTGCCATCACTATATATATAAATATAAATATTGTTAATTTGGAATATCAGACTGATGAAACAAGTTCAGTGCAATATTAAATTGTAGATAGTAAATATAGGAAATATTATCGAAATGAAATTTAAGTTACCGTACTAATATTTTCTTACGAAGTAATAAATAGCATGAGTTATTCATTTTTTCATGTTTAAACACATTCAATGTTCTTTTGAAGATAGGAAAATCTATAGTTATAAATAAATATTATTAAAATGTCGATAGGCTATGTGAGTAGTTGTTAATGTTTAAGAATGTCTTGTTTAGGCAGCTTATGTCTTTTTGGTAATATGTTTTAAGTTGTGAAGCATTTTTGTAAGCATTCACAAAGAGTGCCTGGTATAAAATAGCACAATTAATTAATTTTATTCTTAATGGGACCATACTATACAATAAGTGAGTCAATCTCATCTAATCTAGATTTCATAATATTTTAATAAAGTGGTCACCAATTACAATCACCGATTCAAGAATAATTGTGGTTTTTAATAATTAAAAATATAATCGTCTAATTTGAATTTTAAGTAATTATTTCGAATATTTATAGCAATCATTGTACAAGACTGAATAACAATATGGGTATATCTATTATTAGCAAAATATAGTAATGTAATTTGCAAACCGTCTTTAGGTACATTTTAATATAATTTTTAATAATGTTTTAACATTTAAGCTGGTAAAAAATTATTTTGTTACTACAATATAAGTTTTAAAATATTTTTTAGTATAAGAAAGTTTTTATGAGACTGATATATGAAAACCTCTACCTCTTACGTATTATATAAGATTGCCATATTTGGAAATCGATTTTTGGTAATATTTTTAGTGAATTTTTAGGAAATGTGTATATTTTCCTCGAAACACAAATAGGCTGGGTCGCTGCAATCTGAGCCGAATAATATTGTTAGTCGAAAGTTTTGTTAATTTTTTTGGCTTAGGCTACATGAGTCAAAATGTTACGAGTTTAGTTGTAGACATAAATTTGAGTTGAAGTCACAAATTTATAAAATAAGTGTATTTTGTTTAGTGTTTTTGAGCTTAAAAATTATATTTTGCAGTGTTATATAAAAATATTTACTCATAATAAAATATTGCATTCCTATTCTTTACAACTAGTATTGAGACCGTCAATTTCTTCATTTAAAGGTTGTATTTAGATTTATTTACCGAGTAATACATTATTCAGATTTTTTTTTAAACAAAAGCAATAGAGTAGTATTTTTATAAATTTAAATAATAAAAGTTATTATATTTATAAATCTAAAGTAACTATATTGTGTAAGCACTAGGAAAATTATATCTAGACAAATTCGATGAATTTTTAAGAATTGCGATAAATTACACTTAATACATACAATGAATATATTTTATATTGCTGAATGAATCCTGCTGAGAGAAATATAACTATAATGTTATCAACATACCTCAAGTAATAAATATGTACACTTTAGATTTTAAGAATAATATGTGAAAATATGTGAAACATTTGTTTATACTTAAGTGTAGACAATGTCTCTTTAAAAATTGAATTCAAAAACGAAGCCTTTTTGCAAAAAATGTTATATATATAGATGTTACTTTGGAATCTTGTTCAAAATTTAAAGCACTTTTGTTTAAGGTATTTTCATTCCTGGTTTTATATTTTTATTTTAAGTTGTCAACTTTGCAGTGTTGGAAAATTAATTGAATATGTGATGAATTTTCCAATCAACAATAATCCAGGAAGTAAAAATATCTTATAAATATTTATTTTTGTTTAAACTTTATTTTTAGCTCAATTTATTCAAATAAGTACATAAACACAAATTTATTTGCAGCTGTGATTCAAACTAGACTGATTATAAGAGAAAGAGCAAGTTACCTCAAATATAATTATCAATAAATAATATTTTCTATTCATTATATTATTTACAGACTGATTTATGTATTTAATATATTATTATATGTACTACCTTGGATATTTCTTATTTAAATACCACGTTTTGCCTTATATGTTATTAATTAATATAGATGTCTTTTATATAAATGTATATAAATAAAATATGAAATAAAATATGTTGTTTTATTTTCTATCATCACGATAAATGCGGTAAAAAGAAATAGACTACTTTTGAATAGTTGCAAGGGGGGCATACAGCTCTTTAGTTTGCAAAACAATATTTTCGAAAATAAACCAAATAGGTTGAAATTATATAAAAAATAAAGATTGCATATTAATTTGTAATCTTGCATATTAATTTTTAATCTTTTATATTTGAATTATAACGTAAGTTGAGTATATATATATATGAAATTAAATATTGTTGAAACAATTAAGGAGGGCGCCCTAGACAATATTAGAATACCATGTGTTCATGGAGGGCACCATAATGTCTTTTATAAGAATGGAGGGCGCGCTACGAAAAGGTTAGAAACCACTGACATTTACTCATATTATACTCTCTTTTTTTATCCATGCTTCTACCTACTTAGAAGTTATCATAGAAATTTGACATGGATAAAGGTTGCTGAATTATATTTATAAATCTTGAGCAATATGACTAAATAAATATAATTGAGAAATATATGTATTTATAATTAACTTCCCATAGGGTAAGTTATAGTAATCGCAAAAAAATCGAAAATGAAAATTTTTATATATCTTTACGTTTCAGAGGTTTCTGAACATTTTGGCATACCTTAGAAAAAATGGATGTATGTGTGTGTGTGTGTGTGCGGATACAAATTTTTGTCGACGATTTTGGGAACACATTTTTTCAAATTTCAAAGACATTTCGTTCAAATTATCCAAAATATTTCAAAATAAAGAAAACATTTTTTTTAAGTCTTTTTTCCAAAGTCAATTTTTTTAAAATTATTATTGGTACGGGAAGTTGCAGCAATTTGCCTTAATTTACGCTTATATACTTTTGGAGGCAATTTATATAGTTGGAAACCACTGACATCTTCTTAAACTGATACTTAGAAATCATTATAGGAATTCGACATGATATTCATTTATAAATCAATAGGAAGACTACTGTAAATTGATAAAATGGAAAAATATATATACTTATATTCATTTTTCTCTTTTTTCTACGCTTTTATACTTTTCTAGGCAATTTATATTTTTATTCAAATTCAAATTTGATTCTCGTGTGAAATCATGATCCAATTTGAATGAAAGGTCGAATTGGTGTCAAAATAATGGATAAATAAATAATTAATATTGTTCGTATGGTGTAGTGTATTTTTCTGCATAATATTATATATTATTTTGTAATCAGAGAAATAAATTAGAATATCAGTTGAGTATTTATCAAATTAAATTATTTAAAAAAGACGCTTTTAAAAAAAAAAGATTCACAGGTACAAAAAGGTTGGCAGCCACTGCATTGCGGTATGACCAGTATGACAGGAGTATGACTACCATGACAACCAATCACTTTTCACTACAGTCAACTGTCAAACCAGTCAGTATGTAATTGCGTGAAAAGAATAGGGTTAAAAACGTAAAATAGATTAAAAACATTGTAATCAAATTGATTATATTCTGTATATGCATAGAATAAACATTTAATGATAATTTCTAATAGTGTCATGTCCTGAAAAGATACAAAAATATAATTTCCTTTGAAAATGGGTAAGTTGATTGTCATTCAAGATTTTGATAAATTTAAAAAGAAATTCATAAAATTATTTCTAATTTAATGTTGAAGAAATAACATTCATTTGTCTTTTGTTTCAGACGAAAAGAAGTCGAAGCAAGCATCATCAAAATCTGGTACTTCAACTGATAGCATAATTGTCAATGGTATTTAATTTATTATATTACATTTTATTATTGTAATTTTTAATATATACTTTTCTTTTGTAACAATTTTTGACATTTGTATATTATTACAAATATTTAAGGGATTAAGGATGTGCATAAGACTGTTGAATCAATAACCAAAAAAGATGATCTCAACGTCAACCTTGATGGAATTTTAGAGGAAGTTAAGAAGATTGATAATACATGCGTTTTTAAAACATGTAAAACCAAAACTGATTTAATGGGTGCTAACTGTCCGCATTGCACACTTAGGTAATCCAATGCAATATTTAACCAGCAATCACTTAATTGATATATTTATTTATATACAGATTTTGTTTTAAACACTCGTTGCCAGAAATACATGGTTGTGGAGAAGCTGCAAAACGTGACGAAAGGCGCAAATGGTTACATCCTACAGAGAAACTTGCTGAAAGCAAAAAAGAGGAAGTCAAAGGAAAACTTGATAGAAAACTTAAAGAGATGCAACAAGCTCGAAAGTCTAAGCAATATAAAACTAAGAACAAATAATTTATAAAAATACCTATGTTGGTATTTAAAAAAAAAAATACTAAAACCAAATATTGGTAATGTGCTAGTTATTTCTGTGAAATATCATCTATATATAAAAAGTTATTTTGTAGTAGTAGGACCTCTTTATGAAAGTCATTGTTGATTGTACACCTTGTCTTGAGAAAAGAACTGCTTCAAAATAACAAAAAACTTGTTACCAAAAAAATTTCCTCAACAATATAATTATATTATGGAAAGTGGGCGAATAATGATAATATAATGTTGAAGATGAGTAAATTAAATGTGGTATTAGTCATTTTTAACTTCTTGAAGGATAAGTTTGTTTTGAAAAATAATCCAACTTTCTAATTTTGTTTTCGCAACCTTTTATGTTATTCTGAATTGCTTGAAACCAAAATTAGAAAAATTTTGTGTGGGATATTTTATGTTTTGTTGGTGTTTCTCAAAAACAGCTGAACTCATTTCAAACATTATAAAAATTTATTTGTTTGTTTTATTTTTAATTTTTAATTTGTTTGAAGTCGTGCTCATATTATCATATTTTCTAAGATCGTGCTTAGTTTTTGGCCTGATTTTGGTAAAAAATTGTTTTGACGATTTGAATGAAATTTTTTATGGTGATAGAGTTGATGTTAAAAATTATGGGTCTACAAAAAAGAAGGCCGTAATTACATAAATTTGATGGTTTGAAGTATTGGGTTGAGTCAAAATTTCAAACATCACGATTTTCAAAGTTGCTAAGTTTTAATTAGATTTGTAATATAAATTTTGTACATCTCAGGTCGATGGAAGTGTCTAGTATGAGAGATCATACAAAATATCTATTTGATAGTTATATATATATATATATATATATATTGTAGAGTTTCGAACAAGAATCCAAAAGTAATAAAAAACAAGAAAAGTTTTTTGATAAACAATTTCTTTATTTATTTATTTATTTACTGTCGACGTTTCGAAACTAGGTACGTTCCATCTTCAGGACATCTGTCTAGAAACATGATCTTGATAAGATTTAAGCAAACATATTAAATATGAGCAATACAATACTCAGATTTTTTACACACTTTTCTTTTGTAACTTATTTGGTAATTACAGAAGTTTCAAGACCATGGTATGCTTCATCTTCAGTGTAATTTCAAAACAAAAAATTCTTTAATATTTTATTTAAATTACAATTTAATTTTTGAAAATACAAAAAGCACCAACTATCCACATTTGTAGCACATAATACAGTTGCAATAGCAAATTTAGTTTCAAATACCCGATTACTAAAATTCATTTAGTTTCATTTCAAATTTTGCGCCATTAATTCGAAGGCCAAAAGCAGCGCCCTCATGCCTGAGCGGAAGACCCTATAAGTATACTACTATCTGAATCGGGAGGAAAAGTAGTATGAATGTGGCTGTAAGATGGCGCCACAAGTTGCTTATTGTATAATAGATGGCACTAAGAATTTAAAATTTATTGCACACGTGAATTTTGACTGGTTTGACTTTTTTATCAAATCGTTCCTATCTGCGAGCAGATTTACAGTAAATTCTGTAAATAATGCATTTTATTAGATATTTATAGGTGTAACATATATTTAAAAATAGTTGGCAATTCTGTTTGTTTTGACGCGTCTAAAGTGCATCAGTTAATTTGTAATAGAGGTCAATCAAAAATAAATCAGACTGGTTTAAAATGTCGCGAGTACTTGTTGGCGTCAAAAGAGTAATTGATTATGCCGTTAAGGTAAATATGGACAATAACTAGTGATAATATCTCACATAGTTACATAGCTAGATTTATTTGCTATATTTGTTAATTATGTTTTTTTATTTAACCTCGTATTAATTTGTATGCGTCAACCTATATTACAATGTTTTTTTTGAACAGTTTATTAAATTAACACTAATTGAATTTTAATTACTATTCTATAACGTAACTAAATAATATCGCAGAGTTCAAATATTTACGTAAAAATTATGAATCCGTTTTCAATGACCTTTGATCGTATCACAAAGGTTATTTGCAATTAGAATTATCACAAGTTAAAAAAAAAATCATAAGACATTTGCATTATTGGCTTCATTTAATTTTATTAACTTTAATAAAAGTCAAGCTGTATCATTTTGTTTAATTAATAATATATGACACTTAAGTATTCTTAAACATGTAAAGTTAATAATATTAAAATTTAGTAATAAAAGTTGAATGAATTTAATGCACTTGTTACAATATATAGGTAAATAATTTGAATAATTTTAAGTTAGTGATCAATATCACTAACGATAGTATATTTTGTCGATAAAAAAGTTTGTGCATTTTTTTTGTAAGTTCTTGTTACATTTGAAAAAGTAATATTATTAAAATTAACTTTTAAATTTATACACAAGCTTAAATCATATCCATCGAGTTCTATTATCAAAATTTTTGTTATTAAAATAAATATTTAATGCTATTTCATATTCATATTGAATGATTTTTAAATCGTTCATAAGCAAAGTATTTGAAGCATCATTACGCTATTATTTTTTCCAAAAGTATGATAATTTAAAATTTTCTAAACTTCTGTTTGAAGCAAATTGCAATCATATAACTCCTTTGAATGAAATCACATTTATAGATGAAAATGTAATTTTGAGATCAGTCAACTCATATTAACTTTTAACATAAGCTATAACTTATATTAAAACATGTTTTTTACATTTTTATTTTAGCAATTATTATATTACAATATGGTATTATGATACTATATTATTATATAAGTTATTATATCACAATTCATTATTACAAAATATAATATAGAATAAAAAATATTAAATTCATGTTTTATAATATATTCCAATTCCGAAGATATTATCCTATCAAATTATGAGCTCACTATTCTTTGAGTAATATTTATTGAAATGCAAATATAAAGATGTGCTTTTATTGTTTAAATACATTTTATTCTTTGAGATTTAATTTTCGAAAACATATATATTTCAAGCAAGCAATGCTTTAGCTACTTGTATTACATATCCAAATAATTTATCAGATTAAATTAGATAATTTTATTACAACCACCAACTATGGTAATGTATGTAGTCCAAATATATTTATTGTCATTATTATATTTTTTTTTTTAAGTAGTAAGATTGTAAAGATTGTACAGAGGTTTCTTAGAGAACAATTTATTTATTCGTTTATTTACTACAATAACAATTAACTATTTATAATTATTATAACATAATGTTATAACAAAATTATTATAAGATTACCTAACTCTTTATCTTTTGTAGATAAGAGTGAAGCCCGATAAAAAGGGTGTTGTAACAGATGGGGTAAAACACTCTATGAATCCTTTTGATGAAATCGCAGTCGAGGAAGCAGTTCGTATGAAAGAGAAAAAATTGGCCTCTGAGATTGTTGCAGTATCATGTGGTCCAACGCAAGCACAAGTAACTAATATATTTATAATCGAATAGAATCTATTAAGCAATTTTATAATTTATAGCAAGGATCTAGCTGATTTCCATTTTTCAGTAGAACCTTTACAATATAGCTATATACTAGTCTATTGTGTAGTGCAATGACCTTTATTAATTTGTTTTCTTATATATAACCCAACAAAACTAGATAAGATATAAGAAAACAACTTTATATAGGTGCTATATATATTTATCATTAATTCTTTTATCTATTAACAGGAAGTTTTAAGGACTGCTTTAGCAATGGGAGTAGATCGTGCAATCCATGTTGAAGTTCCGCCTGCAGAGTATGAAACTCTACAACCAATTCATGTTTCAAAAATTCTAGCTAAAATAGCAGAAGAGGAAAAAGTTGATTTTATAATTCTTGGCAAACAAGCAATTGATGATGATGCTAATCAAACTGCACAGATGACTGCCGCCTTACTGGATTGGCCTCAAGCAACATTTGCTTCCAAGGTAATTAATATTTTTAACTATATGTAAGTGGCATTTTGCTTAAGTAAGGAAACCATATGTCCCGGTTATGCCGGGACAATCTCAGATTTCCACCTTGTGTCCCAGGTTTTTATAAAAGCATTATTTGTCCTGGATTGTTACTGGTTTTCAAAAAGTATAGACTTAAATTGAATTTTCACTCTAAGTTAATAATAAAATTACATCTATCACATTAAATATCTGCAAATGTTATGTACAAAGAGTATGCTCATATGAAAGAATACGTTATCAATGAAAAAATTGCTGAATACAAAATTCTGAAGGCGGATTAAAATAGCCTCTTGCATTAATAATTTCCACGAAAAATAACAAACTATGAAAAACTTTTTGACTGCTGTCTGGCATAAGTGCAATTTTTTATGACAATTATAAAAAAATTAACAAAATTTTATAAAAGGCTTAAAAGTAAAAATATAAGATTTAATTAAATATATTATCGAATAATAAAGATCTTACTAAAAGTTAGTAATCCTGATTAAAAAATAAGATTTATTTAAAATAAATTGAATTTAAAAGCAAGTTGTATGAACTTCCTGTTTTATGTAGTAATTGACTTAATCAAACTAATTGAGATTTAGCTATTTAGATAAAATTTTGGACTGTTCATTTCGGAAATAAAGGAAAAATTTTGCATTTACTAAAAACTAAACATTGCATCCAATTGATATCACTTAAACACGTTTATAATATTTGTAATTATATTGATTGTAGTGCACGAACATGTGCTTGTATGTCCTAAAAGTGCCAATTATTACAAGTTTTAATTAATTCATATAAATCAAACAATTTTTTGTAGGACTGTTTAGTCCACAAACTTTATTGCTATATTAAATTTCTTTAAAAATGCCAAAACATTTTTTAAGAACCTTAATTCATTATTTTATGAAATATTAAGCATTTGCTATAAGAAAATACTGGCACAATTACTTATATCACATAAGCATGTCTTAATATAATATTTAATCATTTAAATTAATGGTAACATTGCACAACTAGAGAAGTAGACTGCTAATTAAATGACACACATATTAAGAATCTATTTAGATAATTATGAAATAATTTATGTGTACAATGCACAAATCCATAAACCTGATAGCAAGATTTTTGCGAAAACAGTTACAAAAAAACACAATTTGCTAATTTCAAAGAAATGGCTTGGCCAATCGTCTCGCAAATCTAATCGCGGCTCCTCCTTATCGAGTTTAACCCAATAACTTAAACAATAAATTTTTGAAATCCATTCAGAAGTTTTTGATGAAATTCAAATTTTATGAAAAGTCGACGAAATTCAAATTTTGGATCATATCACAGAAGCAATCATTTGTCGTAGGGTCGTAAATTTTTTTATTTAGTATGATCATTGTCAAAATGGTCTAAATATTATTTAAAAATTTAATTACGAAGACATGATCCGGCCGTTTTTTACCAAAAATTAATCAACAAGATTCCCAACCAATATCTTTCAAACAGTTTCTAAATTTTTAACCTCCCGCGGGCCGAAAATCGAAAATGAAAATTTTTGAATGTTTCTGAACATTTTGGCATACCTCAGAAAAAATGGATGTGTGTGTGTGTTTTGTGTGTGCGCATTTTTTTATCCACGTTTTCGGGCGGACGGATCAACCGATTTGGATAGTTTGAAAAACATTCGATTTCTATTGATGGGAAATTTATTGATTAGTTTTTGGCAAAGGCAGGTCCAGCTGTTACGGAGATAGAGCAAAAAGTGCAGAAAAACAAATCAAGTTTTTGAGAGAACTGAGCATCTGATTTGAATGATCTAAAAAACATTCAATTTGTAATGATTGGGAGAAGTGGTTATTAGTTTTCGGCAAAGGCAGGTTCAGCCATTTTGAAGATACTGAGCTAAATTTACAAAAGGTGGCGTTTTTTCACGTTTCTGTGAATTGAGAAACGGCTTGGCTGATCATTGTGCAAAACTAACCAAAACAAGTCATAATTGAGATACATCGAATGGCTTTTAAATAAAAATTACTTGAAACGTTGAGAAAACAAAACCATTAAATCGGAGTTTTTAGCGAAAATATAAACTTCTTCTACGCGAAGTTAAAGTTAAAAATATACCAAATAAAAATGGAGTATTTTATAATGTTGTGATTATAAATAAATTTATTGAAGTTTTGCATATTTTACTAAAATTATTAACAATTTGTTAAATTGTTTTCTTGTATATCTTAGCTAAAATCAATAATTGAATATTATTTTTTACTTTTGCTGTGTATTCTATATTAAATTGTCATAATTATTTTTTTGTTCAAAATAGATTGAGAAAGAAGGTGACAAACTTAAAGTAACTAGAGAAATTGATGGTGGTCTTGAAGTTGTTGAATGCAAAATTCCTACTGTGATTAGTGCAGATCTTCGATTAAATGAACCACGATATGCAACCTTACCAAACATTATGGTAAATATTATATTTATATAATTTAACACAAAACATTTTACTTATGCATCGAGACTTCTCATTAGAAACATATAAAATTCATTCATAATTAGTTTAATTTTCATAATTATTTATTTATGTAGAAAGCCAAAAAGAAGCCTCTGAAAAAGGTGGCAGCTAAAGACTTGGGTGTTGATTTATCACCTAGAATTGAAGTTATATCTGTAGAAGACCCACCTACCCGACAAGGAGGTACTATTGTCCCAGATGTTGATACATTAATTGCTAAGTTAAAAGAAAAGGGACACATATAAATATCCAGAGAAAAAGTAAACAAATTTGTACAAAGTAATTAATATCAAATGTCATTAATAATTGGCCGACTGTTAATTTTATAGATTTTATGAATAAAATGTGAAAACAGCAATGATATATTATGAATGATAAAAGTTTTTAGTTTCGTTTTTTTGTATTTAAATATAGCCTAATTACTATTAATTCCTAAATTTTTATTCATGTAGAATTACTTGAAATACAGAAACAACGTAGAAATTTATAAATATATATTTTCATAATCTATCATTTTATAATTCTTAAAATTATTGAGCTACATTATCAAATAATTTCTCTGCAGGTAACTTCCAATGTTCAAACACATAAGGTAAACGATCTTTTTGTTCAGTGCTCCAATGATGTATTCTGCATTTAACATCTACTTTTTCTTTATTATTAATTGTTACAACAACATTGAACTCTTTATTTTGCAAGTTCATATCCGGACCTTTGATAGGCTGTTCGGGTATTTTTATTGCTTCTAATGGGCACTCAATTCCACCTTTACGCAGAGCTATTTGAATGTGCCATGGCTCGATAACCCAAGGCTCTTCTTTGTTCATTACTACGGCAAATACATGTTTGGAGAGTACTTTGATGGTCTAGATTTTTTGGATGAAATAAAAGCAGGTAAATATTTTCTATCTGTAGATAAATGTTGAAAACTATGTTATTAACTCACCCTATATACAAATGGTGAACTGTATACATCTGTTTTATCAATTTTGCTAGCAAGATGCTTATACTTTTCTAAATTTTCTGGTGAAGCATAAACAGCAAGTTTTGGTAATAATAGTTTATTGTAAGCAAAATGAGGCTTCAATGACAGTACTTCTCCAGCAGAGCCAATACCTAAAAATTTATAATAGGATGTAGAAAATGTATTTAACTTTTACCTTTTATTGTATTAATCTTTTACACATTACCTTCTACATGAGACGTTAAAATAATGTCTAATTTTTGCAGTGGTTTCATCTCAGTATCTTCCACAACATCATATATATAATCTTTACCTTTTAGTGGATGTGGGCGACTGTTCTTTTTGTACAATTTTAAGGGATATCTTCTTTTTAGTATGAATGTGTTCTATAATTATTTTATTATTAATATGATGAAAATTATGCAAAATCTAAAGGTTATACCTACCCTAGATGGTTGAACTAACAAGCTTTCATTCTGTAACAAGTTTGTGGCAATTGATTTAATCATTTGGTTACGCCACATTTTAAATAAAGATAACTTAAAAAATCAATCTCGGTTAATTTTAAGAGTTATAAAGTTAAAAATGCCTATAAATTGTTTTTGTTCTTATATGCCAAAGTTTGGAGGTTATGTAGCATATGATCATTACCATTACCAACGTTTCAGATGCAGGACGATAACGAAAAAAATATTAAATTATGTTATGACATTTGACATTTGGTACAATATAATTTTAAGTATAATCATAAAATAGATCATAGTATTTAAATTAATAATGTTGTCCAGAAAAAATAAAGACTTAAAAACAATAAAAGAAGGAGTTGTAGGAAAATATGTTAAAAAAGATACACCTCCAGAAATGCCAAGTATGTTGTTTTATATGCATGCAATTTTTTTAAGGTTAGAACTGTACATATCTATTTGTATCAGAAAATGCTTATGTTTAGTAAATTCTAATTGAGATATGAAAGAATACATTAGATTTGACATTATTAATATTTAGTTATTAATGTATGGACAACTGAGCCAAATAGAAAACAACAGAATCGAAGAAATAGTCACCAAGTTGCTAGTACCTCAAGTACAACCTCTAACACCCCAACTCAGCAGCCTCAGAAATTTGGTAACAGCAAAGTTTCAGTGGGCAATGCCTTGCTTGGTGGGCATGAAGGAAAATATACACCGAGTAGTACTGTTCCTAACATCGCTCAGAGGTAGAATTGATTGAAGTAATCTGTAGCAAAACAAAGCATATTTCTGTTATCAATGTGTATTCAATTTTAGGTTTGCAAGTTTGTCATCCAATAGTGATAATGCACAAACAAATGTACCCCCTCATGGATATGTTCCTTTAATTTCATATCCCGCTAGGCCAACAAAGATACAGGTATGTTGAAATGTTTTCATAATTATTAGGATCATAATATAAAATAACTGGTAAAATTTTCAATTTATCTAAATTAAATTTATTTTATGTTTGTATTTGAAAATACATAAAAATAAAATAGGTCAACATAAAACATTTTAACAAAACTGAGAATAAATTAGTTGGTATTGGTATTTTGCCTTGAGGCAAGTCACATGAATTTTCTGATATGTGTGAATAATCAACTTAATCGATAAAAAATAAATTAATTTGTGAGTGATTAAAAGTATTCCGAATGGATTTATCATACATCATTGAAAACGAATGAACACTATAGTGTTATACCAAGTAAATCGTCCAATTTTAATTTTATCAAACATCAAAAAAACTACTAATTTTCTCAAACTTTGATAAATTTTTAAAATTAAACTACTTGTTGTAAGACTGTAATATTTCAGTAAGTTCTATAAGACTATGATATATATTGCCAAAAAAAGTTTCATAAAAATCGGCTTAAATTTTTAGTTTCAACAGTTAATTACAAGGTAAGGGCTTGGTAGATTTTCACCTAAAACTAATCAGTATCAGTCCCAACTAATATCTTTCGAACAGTTTTTGATTTTTTTAAATCGATTCGGTAGTATGAGCTTAAATGTGGACGAAAAGTTTAACACATTTTTCCAAATTACAAAGAAACGGCGCTGCCGATCATCGCACGAAACTGACAAACGATAGTCCTCATCGAGATACATCAAATGGCTTTTAAATTTCTGAAATTGGTTCAGGCGTTTCTGAGCAAACGTCGATGAATGGTTTAATTTTGACAAATGCCAAAAAAAACATACCAATTTTGCAAATTTTGAAGAATTTTTAAAATTAAACGACTTGTCGTAGGGCCGTAATATTTTAGTATGATCTATAAGACTATGGTATCTACCCTCAAAAAAAAAAAAAAAAATCATAAAAATCGCCGCATAAATTTTTTTATCACTTTATTACAAGAAAACGTCCCGGACGATCTTTACCGAAAATTAATCATGTCGATTCCCAATTAATATCTTTCAAATGCATTTTGAATTTTCAAAATCGATTTAGTATTGCAGGCTAAAACGTGGACGAAATTTTTTTTCACTTTTCTGCTATTTACAAGGAAACGGCTTGGCTGATCGTTGCGCAAAATTGATAAAGGCTAGTCCTCATTGAGATACATCAAATGGATTTTGAATTTTTGAAATCGGTGCAGTCGTTTTTGAGAAAACGTCGATTTACGGCAAAAAATCTGTTCACACACACATACTTTTTTCAAATATGGTCTCATTCGTCTAGAATGTCTTGAAACGCCGAGAAAACATAAAATTAACGAATTGAATTTTTTTTGAAAGCACAAACTTCTCCTTCAGGAAGTTAAAGATAGGCCATTCAAAATAAAAACATTTTGTTAAATAAGTAAAACTATGTATAATAATTATTTTATTTGAATACAAATTATTTAAATTGAATATTTTATGTATATATATATATATATATATATATATATAATATAAATCTAGATTGTTATTTTATGCATGTTAATATTTTAATATTTTAGGCCACGCAACACAATCCAAATTTAGATACTGCAATGAGATCAACTAATCATCACGGCTCTGAAACACATACATATGCCGTCAAAAAAGCTATGGCACAACTTCCACCTTTATCTGAGCATTATCAAAGTTACAGCACAGGTGCTGGACAACGATATACTATTCAACATACACAAAAAACAACAGAACAGTCACCATTTAGGCGAAATTATTCAATTCACAGGTTTGTCTGAATTTAATTCATAAAATATTCTGTATCTAATTGCTAGATGGTCAGAGATATGTAATTGAGTTTATTAATAATATGTGGATGTTATTTATTTAAAAAAAAGTAATTATAATTTTAATTGAATTGATCTTTAAACATATAATTATATTTCTTAAGCTTTTCTAATTATAACTTACTATTTTTATACTATTTTATTCTGTTCTTTGCGTTTTTTAATTATAATTTACTATTATTATACTATTTTGCTATTTTATTTCGTTTTTTGCTTTATATTTTTTTTGGTTAAATCTATTTTATAAAATTTATTGATATTTTCAAAATATTACTTTGCACAACACATAAATCTACTCTTTTTTATTTTTTTTTTTTTTTTGATTATCCTAACTATTTATATTCCGGAATACATGCATATTGACTACATTTGAATTATCTAAATATGTTTTGTAACATTTACCTTTAACATAGATATAGAATGAATGAACTTCGGAAATATTACTTTGCACAACACATAAATCTACTCTTTTTTATTTATTTTTTTTTTTTTGATTATCCTAACTATTTATATTCCGGAATACATGCATATTGACTACATTTGAATTATCTAAATATGTTTTGTAACATTTACCTTTAACATAGATATAGAATGAATGAACTTCGGAATGGTACTACAGGATTTAATCGTTCTTATTCATCATCAAGAAATCAGGCTCACCCAAGTGCCTATAATGATACTGGACCTATTTACGAAAATCAGGTTTGTAAATATTATAAAAATGCAAACAATATTTTATTAAAGTAAGTAATAATAAATGTATTTATTAGGTTCAAGTTCGAACAGAGTCACCAATTTATAGCAATACATCTGATTTTTCTCATCAAAGTTCTCTACAATCGTTATATCCAAACAATCACTCACCAAGTGCACAATCTGTATCCAGTTTATATACTAGAAATAATACAAATTCTGTGACTGATATTTATAATACAAATCATCAACAAAATAATATATACAGTAATATACCAAAATCAATTAATTGGCCACACATGAGTCTCGCACAACAGGTAACATATTATATATTATTGATCAAATAAAATTTAAATATTAAGTAAAAAAACATTGAATTTTGAATCATTATTAGAGATGCATTCTTTTGATTGTGTTTTTCACTTTTAAAAAGATTTTCTTATACTACATACTTATACATCAGAATTATTTATAAAGATTTTAAACTTTTCGTATAATTTTCTTAAATAAATTTATTCAATGTATTTAATTTATCTGTGACTGATATTTATAATACCAATCATCAACAAAATACTATATACAGTAATATACCAAAATCAATTATTGGCCACACATGAGTCTCGCACAACAGGTAACATATTATATATTATTGATCAAATAAAAATAAATATTAAGTAAAAAACATTGAATTTTAATCATTATTAGAGATGCATTCTTTTGATTGTGTTTTTCACTTTTAAAAAGATTTTCTTATACTACATACTTATACATCAGAATTATTTATAAAGATTTTAAACTTTTCGTATAATTTTCTTAAATAAATTTATTCAATGTATTTAATTTAGCACATTGGAAAATTGTGTGTCTCTTTGAAAGAATTAATTATAGCTGAGTACTATCTCATTAAATAGTTATAACCAGTCAGTTTTGATAGAGTAGCAAAATCAAGTACAAAATCCATCTTTAATATCAATATGAACATAAAAATAAGTGCAATAAAAATAAAACTTTATTTTCAGGTTAGTTTAGTATCTGAAAATCCAGTGTACAGCAATGTGCCTGCTACAAATCAGATGACTTACGGTGAACAAATAGTACACAATGCAAGGCATGATCCTCTGAGGGTGTTAGAAGGTGCTTCTAATGGTAAGTATATTATAAAGTAGTTTATTCATATCTAGATTTAAATAAAGTGTTCTTATTATTAATAGTATTTAAAGTACTTAAAGTTTTACACGGTACTCGTTTTATACGTTTTTGATCTTACATGCTTTTTAAAAATATATACAGAATTTATTAATTTTGCACTTACAAAAAATTATTAACACTAAACAATAATTTGCTTATATCTACAATAACATTTTTATTGTTTTACCGTCAAAATACAACACTACAAAATGAATGTTACAGTTACGATTCTATAGATTAAGATATGGGAACTTCCCATTATATGATCAAAACTAAATCTTATGTGTGTTTTTAAGCTAGTTTGTTTAAATTATCAAAATAAAGAGCATAATACTTTTTAAATTTTTTTTTGATTAGTGTTTATATATAATTGGTAGCAAAAGTTTATTCAAGGCGAACAAATAACAGAATCATTTTTACAAAATCTTTCATTTATAAAAAAAATATAGTTTTGCAATGTCAAAAGATGAAAATAAATAAACTAGAGAGTAAAAAAATGTTATATATGAACACACCAATTTTAATTTACATCTATGAAAATAAATGTAATGCTATATAGTTTTTTTTATTTTTATTGAATGTGTTTGAAAATCAAATATATTAATATTAAATATTCATCAATTCATCATATAAAAACCTTGCAAAAAAAGCTTTTTTATAGTGATTTTCGTTAAGCACGTTTTTTCATATAAAAGTGAAATTTTCGAGCTCCACGTTTTTCTTTGGAACGTATCTTCCGTGTAAAACGGGGGTTAGATATATATTGATTAAAAAAAAATTAAAATATAAGTTTAACTTCTACACATAAATAAATTAGAGGCTTACTATATATTAGTGAACTCTTGTAATTATTGTTTGTTAAAACAAATGAATTCTTTCACTTTAAATGATTGTTTAATAAGAATTGTTTCAAATAGAAGAAAACTAAATTTAAATAATTTATATTTACAGGAGTTGTTTCTCAGCCTGCAGAAGAAGAGCTACCCTTACCACCTGGGTGGTCAGTTGATTATACATTAAGAGGTAGAAAATATTACATGGATCACAACACACAAACAACACATTGGTCTCACCCGCTTGAGAGGGAAGGACTGCCAACTGGTTGGCAAAGGATAGAAAGTCCTCAATATGGAGTATACTATGTTAAGTAAGTTTGAAAAGAAATAAAAATATAGAAGGATTCCACGGATTATTCCTAAAATTCTGACCAGAACATATAATTTATTATTTGTATATTATTTATTTTCTCATTTATATAACAATGATTGCACAAAGAAGTTATTAACTTCTAATTATTATAATAGTATAAACAAATTAAAAAGAAGGTTATAGAATTTTACTATATAGTGTTATGTAATACCTACTTCTATTTGAAATAGAGATAGCTAAAGTGAAACAAAGTTTGTTTGTGAAAAATTGCAACTTTATTACAAAAAATTATTTGTTCTAATTTGTTTGTTAAATTTTTCTCTAGTCATATAACAAGGCAGGCCCAATATGAACATCCTTGCTTGGCTCCTTGTTTTCTGTACGAAGGCGCTGGTCTTGCTAGCGCACATCCTCTAGGAATTCTGCCCCCACCCCGACACACACAGTTCAGCCCTCATTCGGCTTTGGTTCCTGCTAATCCATACCTGCTGGAAGAAATACCACCGTGGCTAGTTGTCTACTCAAAAGGTAAGGTCATTTTTTTTATTATTAAAATTTAGGGAACTGAGTTTCATAGGTGCAGTGATATAATACTTATCTTGACCCTTTTAGTGCTGAGGTAATTGATAGTTTTGACTATTTTGATGGAACTTTGTATAGCATTAGATTTCATAATCTTTCGAAATAACATAATAAAATATTATAGGCCTATGATAAGTGGTTGATATATAAAGTCATCAAAATGTAGAATTTTACCGTGTGATTTTAATCAGAATCTATGCTGAACATCTATATACCATATATTCCGTGTTTTGTAGGTAGCTACTGATTACAGTTGACATTTACACTTAAATAAAATAAATTTTAAAAACTCGAAATGGATGAAATGAAATTTGTTGAACAAATTCATTTAACCTATACAGATGATATAAGTATAATGTAATTTATACAGGAACACTGTATAGCATTAGATTTCATAATCTTTCGAAATAACATAATAAAATATTATAGGCCTATGATAAGTGGGTGATATATAAAGTCATCAAAATGTAGAATTTTACCATGTGATTCTAATCAGAATCTATGCTGAACATCTATATACCATATATTCCGTGTTTTGTAGGTAGCTACTGATTACAGTTGACATTTACACTTAAATAAAATAAATTTTAAAAACTCGAAATAGATGAAATGAAATTTGTTGAACAAATTCATTTAACCTAAACAGATAATATAAGTATTATGTAATTTATACAGGTAATATAAGTATAATTGAAAGACATCAATTGGACATTGCATTTATTATTTTCAAAGCGAAAAATATTATTTTTGTAATAAACAGTAGCCATTTTACCTAAATAGCTGCATATCATTCATTTAGGCTTATTATGTGTAAGTATAGGGAACTTCATGCAACTTGTCTAAAGGCAAAGTGCTACTTAAAACTAATTTTGAGCTGATTTTTACTGCTATTTTATTTGGTCTTGGATTCTTGATTTTTACCATATCAGCTTTGAAAACCATTGCAGAACCACTTTACTGAAAACAAAAGGAAGCTGCCAATTAAAAATTTTAATCATTTTTTAAATCTTTTATATCATTGTAGCAGAATCAAACACATGCACCAATTTTACTTTCATACATTGAATTGTATTTGTTGTTATTTCTATTATTCAATTATTTGTTAATATTTTAATACTATTATTAAACAGCACCTGATCATGTACAAGAATATAAAATCTGTTGGGATATGTTCCGAATGGCTGAATTGGATTGTTTCAGTGGCATGTTGACACGACTGTACAAACAAGAATTATTAGACATAGTTATGAGATACGAGGCATACAGGTATGACAATTAATCTTTTAGTTTTTCTGAGATTTCTTCTGATGATGTATTGTTAATATCCTATGTTATTTTTTTTAACACTTTTAGAGCATCACTATTAATAGAAATGGAGAGAAGACTACGGGAAATGCATTTACAACAAACTCAACAACAACAAAAACAAGACTGATGATAACAAAATTTGAGATTGCAAGGTATTTATGATACTTTTTTTATATATCCACCTGAAAATATATTATTTTTGCCTTTACACAAATCACCAAAATGAAAGAAAACTTCCAGTGATAATTAGTGATACAAAAGCTTAAAAATTAAAACCTAGCGAATTACTAAATTTTTATGAAAATTTTATGTATTTAAATATTTGTGTTTTTATTTATAACTTTTCTGCCATTTTGATTAGATTTGATCATATTGGCATATACATTAAGGTACTAAAATTTAATTTGTGATTATAAGCTATCTACCAGTTATGAAATACTTTAAATTTACTTCTCAGTGATTACACATTTAAGATCATTTACATTGGAAAAATTATAAAATCACTATTATAAAATATGTTATGTTATATAGTTGTTTAGAGCTTAATTGAAAATTTTTATCAAAAACTAAAAATAGTTTTCATCGTGAACTCTTGATGAGTAATTAGAGACAATCGTTAGTGAAATGAATTGATGTGCTTTTATAAATATTTATTGATGGGCCTTACAAATTTTAGAAATAAATTACTTCACAAATACCACATTTTTTGTAAGTGAGATAGGTAAAAAGAATAAAACAAGTAATTCATTGTATAAAAACCTGGGTGAACCTGGGAATTCAGATGTTTTTCAATAACCGATACTACTAAATTTGTATTGAAATTTGCTATTGTAATCCAACAACATTCAATGACATCATTTTTTTCATTTTTATGCATATGGTGAAGAAAAATTTTGATAAAAATGATTCTGTTTTATATAAATTTTCTCTTGATGTTTAAATAATTCTGAATCGTTTGATACCTAATTTGCTCAGAAACGGCTGGACCATTTTCAAAAATTTAATTAAACTCGATAACGAACCATTAGTTGAAAAATTGATTTTGTTTTATATATTTTTTTTTAATGTCTTAAGTAATTCTGAATCATTTGATACCTAATTTGCTTAGAAACGGCTGAACCATTTCCAAAAATTGAATTAAACTCGATGACTCTCGTTCATTAGTTTTGCGAGTCGATTGACTGAACCCTTTTTTCTATAGAAACTGCAAAAAAATTGTTCATGTTTTCGCAAATGTACTGAATCGATTAAATTTTTTTCTAGATTTAGTTAGTGTTGGTTAATCGTAATTAATCTTTAGATTTTTTTTGTACACACTTGATTAAACCTTTCATGATGATAGAGTTCATGGCCTTAACGAAACCTTACAATCGGTCATTATAAAGAATATCGGTTAATTATTGCCATGTCAAAATTTCAAAATTTTATCGTCACACTGTTTAAAGTGGCTAAATTTTGATTCTTATTTGAATAAGTTGATTTTATACAGATATCAGCAAGTTTTTGTAACTTGCTTATGACAATATGTCACTTACATCTAGTTTAAAGATGATACTTTATGGATAATCACATCATCAAAGCATCTTGCAAAAAAAGTATATAAAATTCAAATTTATAAAAAAGCATGAAAAAGAATTTATATTTATTTAAACCAACCAAAATTAAACAGAATGACAAAATTTACTTAATACGTACAGATACAATATATTTAAAACTATTATTTTTTCAGATAATTCGTGTTTTTTTTTTTTATATTTTATTATAAACAAAACTCACCCAAAGTTTAAATCATAATAATTCATCTTCATATACTTTAGCTTCTCCTATTTCTTAGAAACATTTTTTAACTTGCCCAGTCAAATATTCTTGTTTCATATTACAAAGTCTTTTTGACGTTGACTCAAGAATTGCTTTTGCTTTATTAATATTATATATTATATATATATCTTAATAAATAAGAAACCTACAAACTCACGTGCTTTATAAAAAAATGCCTTAATATATTTAATAACAAAAATATAGATTTATAATAAAAGTTATATGTGATCAATTTTATTATGTGAATCTCGAAACGTCTTATGTTTTGATTTGAACGCATTTTAAAATATTATTTTAGGTATGTATATTGATTATTGATTTTCACAAAATTAGCTTTAATTTTATTCTTAAGCCATCCAAAGATTTGATTTCGTTTTTTTTTCAAGGTAGAAGAGATATGTCTTTTATTTTATATAATTTTATTAAAAAGATCACTTTATTTGGTATGGGTATCACTATTAAATTGCTTTAAAATATCTACAATTTTGGAAAGGAACACAGAAATTAAATTTTTTGTGATTTTCTATACTCTAACCATTTTTGACTTACAAAATAAATATCAAAAAATAAATATATTTTCCGCCACTAATTATTAATGATAAAACGTACAATAATTAATGCAATATGAAAATAAATTTTACAATTAATAATGATACCACATACCAAAATGAAATTGTAGAAAAATATTTTCTCTTCTATCTTCTATCTTCTATCCTCTGATGATATGTGATATATTGATATTTGATTATATTTTTTTAATATTGGAGACCGTTTGCAGTTTGCAAAAATTAATATCTATTTCGTACAAAATGTGCCGAGTTTATTCAGTAATTATATAAAATACTATTTGAATACTTTTAAATTATTTCATTACATTTTCGGAAGCATCAGATTTTAAAAATATGGACAAAATATTATTTATTTGCATTATGATTATAATTTATTTCGGTTCAAAGATACAGCGATTTTAATTAGATATATAATAATGTTTTTTTGTTCAAAAACATATGCTACAGCTATTTTAAATGAATATATAATAATGTTTTTTTGATCATAAAAATCACGCCACGAACATTTGGTAGAAGTATTACTCAAAAGTAGTATTTGAAATTGAATGCAAAAATAAAACCACAACCGTACTTTCTCTTTTTGTGGTTTTTATCACAAAAAATATATCACACCAAAGCTTTGCATTATAAATTAAATTTTAAATTTATGTAGAGAGAAGGAACATCCTGCTCTTTTAATGAAAATGCAACAACTTGTTTGTTTGCTGCAATATCTTACAAACTTGAATAATTTAATATGTATATGGTTTTAAAACGGTCAAGTACAAATTGTTTAAAGATATATTTTCCGAATGGTTTCGAGAACTAGCTTTAAAAAAACTAACTTCATAATTTATTTTGTAAGTAAAAAGTAAGTACGAAGAAATGAGCAACAGCAACTGTGTACGGTCTTCAATTTTTCATATTTTTTTTTATTACTAACACTATTATTTTGATAAAAAATAGCATTTTTCTCGAATAGTTTGACTTGCTCACCTTTATGAATTTTCTAATAGCCTCTAGTGTGCTATTTATTTTTGATGTTTAAATAATTTGCTGAAATTTAGCCAGATCATTATTGAGAAATTTCAACATCAAGGTCTGCCTCTTCCATATCATAGTATTGATAATATAAATATTATTAACGCGATTAATATATCAACCCAGTAAACACCGAGCGGCGGTCGCAATCTGAAATCCACATAGATGCCACATAGTGTCACAGAGCTGAAGACAAGTTTGTGGATTTGAGATTGCTACCGCCGCTCAGATCACACGGTGTTTACTGGGAAGGAAGTGTTACATATATATAGTTACCGAAATGAGTTATCTCTGATATATAAACCATTCATATTTTATAACAATAATATTGAAAAGAAATAAGTACTAGAATGATTCTCTACATTTATTACAGACCTTCATGTTGAAATTTTTTTATCGCAGAAACAAAAGCAAAGTTTTTATATATTTATTATGATCAAGAGCTTTAAATCTATAGCTTTAATTTTTTTGCCAATATTGAGAGTTCAAAATTAGTATCTTGATTGTAAAATCAAATGAATATTAAATGCTTTGCTTTTTTTCTTTGGTGATAAATGATTTTGCTTCAATTTCTTCTTTCATGAATGTTCAAATGATTAATTTTTTGATCGTAAATGGGAATTGATAGAAAACTGAAAAATTGAAAGAAAAGTTACTCGAAGTATAAAAGAACTTTTTAAAATTTTAACGAAAAATTTGTTTTATTGTAGCAGATGTTATTTTAGAAAATCTAATTTTGCTACTGTTATGTTAAAATCAATGCTCAACACACTTTCTATATATTTTAAATAAAACTGCGTAAATAAATTTGTTACTAAGGTTGGTAAATTTAGAAAGTAATATATTAAAAACGAATATAAAATGCAGATGTATCACTTGACCGGATTAAATCATGTATTTCAGCCAATAATCAGCGATTAGTTAGCTTTATATATATATATATATATATATATATATATATATATTAGATTTCTCTAAATGCTTAAAGAAAATAAAATTTTTCAAAAATGTACCAGAAAAAAAAACTATTTTTCACACCTAAAAATAACGCTGTTTTCTAAAAATTCCCATTTCTCAGAAATTCGGTTATGTATATTATTCTTAGCCATTAGTTGTAGAAAGATATGTATTGAAACTAAAAAATAACTACGATATTTAGAAAAAAATATTATTTAAAAACGATTCAAAAAATAAAAACAATAATATATACCCATGTGAAGTATTTATTAGAGATGAATATGTGCCTTATATTTATATATATAAAGGATATTTAATCTGATATTTGAACTATATCCTTGATATTATATTTTGTACATAAATTTGTATTATACTGTAATGTAAATATATAAGTCAAATTTTATAATTCATGGATTTTATTTATAATCAGATAATATAAGGCAGATGCATGGATATAATATGATACATATAAATTATTTGAAGTTGATAAAATTGACTGGCAGATACGGCAAATTTTGTGAGTTATTTAATTTGTATGCTATATAATAGGTGCAAACTTTTATCCTCATACTATTGATTTTGATACTTAATGAGTTAATTAAACTATTACATATAGTTTCAATATTTTTCAAATATACTAGTCTTGTTATAAAAAAGATAATAAGCACTAGATTGTAGTGCCCTAGAGTAGCATAAAGAAAATGCATAGGTTATTATCTTACTAATCCTAAATAGTAATAGACAGTTAATTGTATCAGATATATTTTTCAATCTCAAAAAGGTACAAATAATATACTTAAATGGCCGTAATAAAAAAATA